TAGTAAAATAAACATTGATCCTGACTATAATACTAACTTTAAATATAAAATCCTTTATATTGAAGAAATATTAATAAAAGCTCTATTTTTACAACTACACAAGAAAACCCTTCAAGCATTTAAAGTCACCAGAGTCAAGTTAGCCCTCAATATTTCAAGAGGATATTACGGTGTGTGAAAGTCTGAGTTGCTTTTCAATTTTATGAAAAATTGGCAAGCTTCCACGAGACACCTGACACGACCATGTTTTCAGATCCTATTATTTTATTAAAGACATCTGCGGCCAATAAGCTCCGGTGGGTGACTCGGATTACATAATCATCTAGAAAGAAAAGGGTAGGAGATGAAAGGAGTGAAGAATGAAGGAAAAAATGACAGACCTGAAACGGTAGAAACCAGACATCACTGAACACACAAACTAAAACTCGTGCACTTATGAAGAGGGAAAGAAACTCTAAGAAAACTTCACGGATCGTTGAAGAGGGACACCCAAACGACCAGAATAATCATACCATACCAACTGGGAAATCAAGACAGGTGCCGAGTAAGTCTGGGAGCAAAGTGCCAATGGTCGAGTGACGCACTCGTTGTGCCAGAACAGGGAGAAAATGTGTTTTCAAAGCAGCAGGTGAGCCTGCGGGCGTGAGCGGGTGAGGCAGATGGGTCGCATGCCTAAAGAGTCGAGCTCAGCCTCCAGTGCTGCACGGAAGCAACTGGTCACACTCGCGTGTCGCACTTATTCTTTACTGCTCTTTTTGACCAGTAAAGTATGCATTTTATCAGACAATCTTCCGCCAGTCGCGGAGGTCATTATGTCCTGTAAGGACTCGCTAGTGTTCAGAGATGCAAGACTCGCTACGATCCAGAAAGTGAAAGCTTCATTATGCTAATGAACATCTATAAGTAAATATATTTGGTCTCAATATACCAGAGGGGCATCACTGACCCTCTCCCATACCAACTGCTATATTAGCATACCTCTAACCACCACCAATTACTACAAGACCACACTAATGAACAACCACAAACTACCATCAAAACGCTAGGTGGCGGGGAGAAGAGCCACCAACCTGCCACAGTGACGTGCATGTGGCAGCCGCTCGACGTGAGATCCCGGGGCACCTTCATGCCATATGGCAACCAAAAAGTCACGAACTTCCATTGGTGTACCTGACCGCCCACAGCCCAGCCACAGAGGTCAGAGCTAGGTCGCCACCTCCCCATACTGCACAGTGACCACTTCCATTATCAGATTGGGATTACAGGTGTCATCCACTCGACGTAAAGCTTGCTAATTATTGGGTCTACTTTTTCAACAACCTTAGTCAAAAAAAAGGCAAGCTAAACAATGATTTTTACAATATTATGCAATATTTGATTAACTATTTAACTCGCTCATTAACTAATGTGAATATTTCTATTGCGACGAGTTCAGCAAGCAACGTCCCAACTACTTCCACTCTGGGCGTTGAAATCACCGAATGAATATTTACAAATTATTTCTGCATTTTATTTTGGGATTATAAAAAACCACCGCGCTCTTAGTAAATCTTTCTTCTACACAGTGACTATCGAGTGTACAGTATGAGACATCAAACATCTTACCGGATATACCGCACCTTTCCTCTCTAGATTTCACATTATCTTATCTTGAATGCCTTACATTCTAAGGTGTTAAATGTATCACAGTTGTGCCTCACTAACATCCTTATCACAATTCTGGCAGAAATACTAGGAATAACGGTGTTTCTCGAAATTGGGAATTAACAAACTTTGAACTAATTTTTTGTAACACTAATGTTCCTTATTGGAAATTCAGAATTACTATTATTTATTATCATCATTATCATCATCGCTGGAGCAGCACGATTTCAATTAGGGGAAGCTTCAGCCAAGATTTCATTTTGGGGTTCTTAAAAATTATATACTGAAAAAAAAAAATATCTTTAAAAACATGATTTTTCATTATATATATGAATTTCTTAAATTATAATGTTTTTGTAGTCATTGGTCAATATAATATAGTGAATATTAGCCATTAATTTATGAAATTAAAAAGTATTTGCATATGGTTGCACCACTCAGTAGCAGAAGTTGTCTCCGTTACAACCAGAGGTCAGACTGCATAATAAGTATCGTTTGCCATTGACCACTTGCAAGCTGACCACTAGGCTAGTTACTCAGGATCGACATACAGTAGGGAAGTCAAGCAAGTGGCAGATTTCAAATGTTACCGAGACAATAAAATCGCGGGTTTGGTTTGACTGAGTTTAGAACATCACACAGAGTGGAACCAGAGAGTGGGAGAGCTTATGTATATTTTATACACATCTTCAGTAGTAGTTTCTGGAGATGTTTATATACAAAATATATGGTAACACTCGGGGACTGTTTCCACTTTCATTTTCCTGCATGGTCACTGGCACACACTTAACTGAAAATGTGCCTGACGCTCACCCTGTGACGTCATGTGCAAACACTGAGATTTCAACTCTCTTAGTGATAGTGGTGATGGTAGTGGAGGGTGGTAGTGGTGATGGTAGTGGAAGGTTGTAGTGGTGATGGTAGTGGAAGGTAGTAGTGGTGATGGTTGTGGAGGGTAGTAGGGGTGATGGTAGTGGAGGGTGGTGGTGATGGTAGTGGAGGGTGGTGGTGGTGGTAATGGTAGTGGAAGGTAGTAGTGGTGATGGTTGTGGAAGGTAGTAGGGGTGACGGTAGTGGAGGGTGGTGGTGATGGTAGTGAGGGGTTTGGTGAGTGGTAGTGAGGGTGGTAGTGGTGATGGTTGTGGAAGGTAGTAGTGGTGATGCTTGTGAAGGGTAGTAGGGGTGATGGTAGTGGAGGGTGGTGGTGATAGTAGTGGAGGGTGGTAGTGGTGATGGTAGTGGAGGGTGGTAATGGTAATGGTAGAGGGTAGTAGTGGTAATGGTAGAGGGTGGTGTAGTAGTGAGGTGGTAATGGTAGTGGAGGGTGGTAATGGTAGTGGAGGGTGGTAGTGGTGATGATAGCGGAAGGTGGTAGTGGAGGGTTGTAGTGGTAATGGTAGTGGAGGGTTGTAGTGGTAATGGTAGTGGAGGGTTGTAGTGGTAATGGTAGTGGAGGGTTGTAGTGGTAATGGTAGTGGAGGGTGGTAGTGGTGGCGGTGTGGGGCCAGTAATGCAACCCACGACTCGGAAATTCCCCCGCCTCTGTGGGCTACTTCCGGTACTAGCTGTGTCCGTCATACGCCCAATATACCACTCGTAAGATCCCCGCCCATGCTGGGTCACGCCCAGGCCACCGCCACGCATGCTCGTGTCCAGAGGTCACCAGGTCAACCCTATCAGAGGTAACCGGGTCACCGCTACAGCATTCCCGTGACCAGGTCACCGCTACAGTCCGCATGCGACAGGTTACGCAGGTCACTAATTCCTCGGGAGGGTGGAGGGGAGTGAAGACAGGGAGGTGAGGATTACTCCACATAAGAGGGAGATGAAGTTGAAAAGTGAGAACGAATAAGGAATAAATAAGACTAACGAAGTGGAATCTCTTCTCCCAAGGAGATGTTGATTAAACCAGCTATATAAAACGTATGATCACTGTTATATTGATGAGGAAGTGCTAAATCCGTAAGTCATACAGCTTCTGGGGAAACGGTGGGGGAGGTAATCAAATTAGATTTAAGGAAAGGGGGAAACATACTAAAGAAGAGGTGAATCAGAGCAGACTGAGCTTCCCTTGGGTTGGGATTCCCAAACTGAGAGGCAAATGGACCGTGACATGACCAGGCCACACTAGCACAGACGTAATGGGACAGAGCAGGTTGTGGCATATTTGGGGAATAGGAAGGACAATCAGAGGTACAAGGAATCTAAAGAAAAACGGAGTAGATAAAGCGACTGTTTGCTGGGAGATTGGAACATAACATATCCATGTAGGGAAGGCCCGCCTTAAAGTATTAGTTGGCTTATTCCTAGGGACCCTGTTAATGTCTTCTGTACATTCCTTTAAGTGATTATACCTGCCAGCAGACTATCTTTCATGCTACCACGTTAGAAATGCTTGAAAAAAAAAAAATGTTCGTGAATTGAGCTGAGAAAAAATAAAAAAAATTTCTCCAGGATAGGCGACATACCGAACGAGTCTAACTTATCCACAGCACCAGGAGCAACAATGCTAGCGCGCGAGTCACCTATGTGAGCTTACTTTTAATCGACTAATTACAATGAGCTACTATTCCTGTCATGCTATTCCTCATTGATGCTTCGACCTCTATACCTTCATCTTGTGTATCAACACACACAGCCAAATTCTCGGTTCTTTCCCACTGTTTCTAGGAATCGCCAAAGCACTTCTCACTTCGCGGTCACGTGACTCATTCCTCTCCAGTGAGGGCATCTCGCCTCTGTGTAGCGAGACCCGAGAAGCGATGATCGCTTACACAGGTGCAACATCCGTTAGCGTTAACATGACGTCACACCCACGGATTCTCTCGCCCTCCGGAAACACTAGGAAATTTTCGGTGTGTATATGAACAAACACATCACGAACCGAAAATTACTACAATTTACTGCTGATACTTATAATTAGATATCACTCCAGGATTTATTGTGTTTTTAATCAAATAATGAAGAACATTTAGAGTGAGATACAAAATTGAACATGTCATGCGCAAATTAAACACGCCATTACAAGACTACATACAGGGTGTTGCAATTATACTATCGGAAACAAACTATCGAAGAGTAAGTACAGGGGCATGGCATGACAGATGCCTGTACTACACTAACAAGCACAGGTACACGGACAAGACAGGTTCCTATGCTCCAGCGACACGCACATGTGCATGGGCATGGCAGATACCCTTGAACCTGTCTGGACACCTACACCCATCAGCAGCGGTGAAAGGGTATTTAGTGTTCCAAGAGAACTTCTATGAGCAGCTTCTCGCACCTCTCCTTATCCAATTTACTGACAAAAATTGTGTTAGCGATTAATGTAAAGCACACATTTATAACTAATAATTAATTTTAAATATAACTAAAAACATACAATGATTGTAAATCTTGCTTTCTTGTGGTTTTACAGGATTTTTAAAATTTAACTTTCCATGCCCCCCCCCCTGGCGGTGAAGTGTACATAAAGAAAAACCACGAAGTTGGCACGAATGCGAAAGTAAAATGAAAAAACCATGACGTCCCCTAAATATACCCTCCTAGGTAGCCGCCAAACTTGCCTCACGGGTTGCGGTGATTTTGATCACCCTACACTTTCACTGATGTTATCTAGTAAGCCGCTTGAAAGGAAGCGAACCAGCGCCGATATCACGCGTCAAGCACCTAATTTAGATACGAAGATGCCATTTATCAAATATGTGGACAACTGGATACCATCATTAATACGGATAACAGCACACTGACTGGCTACTGTTCCTGGTCCTCTGCGCTTCCCTTTATACAGACGTAAGAATATAAAGGGTATCAAAGATAATACAGAATTCTGAACCGTCATCATCGCTCGCTGGAAAACAGTTCCTCAGTAAACAACCAAAACACTGACAAACGATATCGCAAGAATGATCAAATTTCTCAGGAGACTCCAATATAACAGGGATCCGCCTACCTCTGAAACCCTTGCACTGATTGGCTGCCAAGTTGATGACGTAATGGCAACCCAGTGAAGTAAGTGTGATACTTAGATTGGAAAGACCAACCCGCTGGAACCTGCCTTTTTCTACTTTGAAGGACTTAATACCTATACACTCGCGAGTGTGGGTTTAAAGATTTTTCAGAAATTTGAAGTGGGACAAGTCAAGTGGCAAGCTACCGCTCAAGCGGTGTTGTCACTTGCTTTGCCGGGTTAGAATCTCTGAAAAATATTTGAATTATTACAGGCCTATATTACGTTATATTATTATGACGAAAATAGAATAAGTTACCTAGATGAGGCGCTTGGGATGTGTTCCTTAGTGTTATCTCTCAGCCAGAGAACTGGCAGTAATATCACACCGACATGTGAAGACCGCCCTCTTCTTTATCTTATCAAGTCAGGAAATGTATTTGAGGCATGATCTCACAAGACTACACTCGATGCCTCTTACCTAAGGCTAAGGACTACATGAACTGTCTTGATCCGAGTGCACAAATATTTCATCCACACCCTCACCACTAACCAGCCCAACCACACCATCCACACAATACTCAACCATACACACACACACACACACACACACACAACACAAACCTGAGAATAGCGTTCAAACACTATACAATGTGTATGTTAGGCCCATACTGGAGTGTGCAGCACCAGTCTGGAACCCACACCTGGTCAAGCACGTCAAGAAGTTAGAGAAAGTACAAAGGTTTGCAACAAGGCTAGTCCAGAGCTCAGGGGAATGTCGTACGAGGAAAGGTTGAAGGAAATCGGACTGACGACACTGGAGGACAAAAGGGTCAGGGGAGACATGATAACGACATACAAGATACTGCGGGGAATAGACAAGGTGGACAGAGACAGGATGTTCCAGAGAGGGGACACAGAAACAAGGGGTCACAACTGGAAGCTGAAGACTCAGACGAGTCACAGGGACGTTAGGAAGTATTTCTTCAGTCATAGAGTCGTCAGGAAGTGGAATAGCCTAGCAAGTGAAGTAGTGGAGGCAGGAACCATACATAGTTTTAAGAAGAGGTATGACAAATCTCAGGAAGCAGAGAGGGAGAGGACCTAGTAGCGATCGGTGAAGAGGCGGGGCCAGGAGCTGAGTCTCGACCCCTGCAACCACAATTAGGCGAGTACAATTAGGTGAGTACTACCCAATCATGATGCACTTACAATCCGTCATACGCATACACACACACGCATACACGGCAAACAGTCATTAAGCCTACGCACACACCCCAACACACACATAATACCCAATCATGATACACCCACCCACACCGGCCCAACCATACGAGAGAGAGAGAGAGAGAGAGAGAGAGAGAGAGAGAGAGAGAGAGAGAGAGAGAGAGAGAGAGAGAGAGAGAGAGAGAGAGAGAGAGAGAGAGAGAGAGAGAGCATTAAATAAATTACTTGTATACTTACATATTTTGTTCTGAAGTCATCCATGAAACTGATGGCCCTGGAGACCGCCAAAAGGATGTGTTTGGCTAGGGAATCCGCAGTGTTGTTGACGTCGTGCATGAGGTTGGTGCATGGCTGCGACCAGTGTGCTGTGCCTCGCCGGCTCCTGCTGTTGCCCACATCGTCAGGTTGATCCTCCATCCTATGCCTGCTGCTCACGCTACTGCTGCTACTTCTGCTAGCCCGCTGATGGTGCAGCGCTCGGCGGGGCCTTTCTAAAAATTCTTCCAATTGCTGGTTTATCTCCCACTCCAAGGTGTTGTCAGCTGTCGTCGATGCTGCTGCTGCTGCCGCTACCGCCGCTGCTGCTGCTTCCAGGATATACGCAGCTCTTGTGTTTTTAACGGGCACCGCTGACACGGGGCTCAACACTAATAGCAGGAGACACCACGGAGTCCAGTCTGGAAAAAAAAATGAACGAATAAGACGCTGATGGAAAAACACTAGCAAAAATTTAAGATGCGCCCGATAATCAGATCTTAATATGTTTATCTTCCTCCAAAATGGAAAACAACTTTAAAAATATGGTAGAAAAATTAAAATGATTACTATGATTTTTAAAGAAGAGTGGGAAAGAGAATGGGGAAGACGGAGGTATATGAAAGGAGAGGAGAAATATAATGAAGGAAACCGAGATGGAAAAGGACGAAGAGGTGGAAGACGAGGATGAAGAATAAAGACGAAAGGGGAAGCGAAGAAGGAGAGTAGAGGAGAGGGGAGGGGAAGGGCGGGGAAGAGAGGTAGAGATCATAAAAATAAAATTTTATTTTAAACGAAAGGATTAAACACCAACTTTTGGTGTTTTAATTGATAAAATAACCATAAATTCAGTTTAAAATAAGTAGAAAGCTAACAAACGTTTGTTCATATATACTTTATCATTTGTCACACCATTTACTACCAAAACCTTTTATGGATAAATATTATAGGACTGCGAGAAACGCTCTTAACATTCCGTAACTCAAGCAATCGCAGACACAACAATAAGTAAATTATATTACTAAGCAAAGTTTCTTATATTGTCTACTTTGTTAATTTTATCAATAATGTAATTTAAAAAGCCACCAGAAACTTGAGAATTAAGCAGATAATGTTGATGCTTGCGTCTCCATGATCCCCCATACAAGTGTAATGAATTTAATGCGGGACAGACTAGGAAAGCCTAAATTTATGAATAAAACAAAACAAAAACAGCATTAAATGTGAACAGGATTCGAAAACTTTGTTTAGTCACTAAAGAAACTTTAATCCTACCGATTATTTGAAAGCTAAAAAAAAAATTGTATATATGGCTTAACGCAAGAAGAATCGTGTCAAAACTAATGCTGATTAGAATCTTGACACAGGACCCAGACATTACAAGCTGGATGCATTACTACTGAAAAATATATATAAAACTTTAAGTCTTTGAAAAAATAAACAGTCTTTGAAACATATATAGATGTTCCGTCAGAGATACTACACTCATCTGAACCTAGATGCACAGTAACTCTCTCACTTTAAAAGACTCCCGGAATATCAACAGAGCAAGATACTCCACTCCGCCCAAGAGCACGTGTACATGAGTATTCATTTCTATATGCAAGAGTTTAGCTATATTGGTGAACCGTCCTCAATGTTAGTTACTATCAGAAGCTGAGCTATGTTCATATTGTGCCACCTTCAGTGTTTGTAGCCACAGTAACCCAACTATATTCGTGCCCAATACGCTGCTTGTAGAATTACCTACGATCTCTGCTCGCACGCATGCACGCACTTGTGTGTACCCACCAATATGTGGTTGCATGGGTGGGTGTGTGTGTGTGTGTGTGTAATTACCTATTTGTGGTCGAAGGGGTCGAGATTCAGCTCCTGGCCCCGAGTGGGCGCGCGCGCGTGTATGTGTGTGTGTGTGTGTGTGTGTGTGTGTGTGTGTGTGTGTGTGTGTGTGTTGTGTGTGTGTCAAGGTTGGTGCTTGTGCTTCAAGGTGGCAGAAGGGACGAAACTTCCCAGAAACAGTGAATCACACACCCAGCCACCACCACACACGCCACCTCACACACCACACACACACACACACCACACACACACACACACACACACACACACATACATACGCACACATACGCGCACACACACACACACACACATACAAACATACGCGCACACAAACGCATAAACACATACAAACACATACGCACAAACACACAAACACCAACAATCACTAACAGAAACAAAAAAGAATAATAAGGAGGAACTTGACAGCAAGAGTGACGAGTGATGAGAGACGTATGGGGAAGATGTTGGGGAGAGAGGGATGTGATGGGGATGAGGGTGAAGTGTAGGGGTTGTTAGTAGGGGTGGAGATGATGGAAGGAGAGGGAATAAGGAGGGGAGGGTTGGGTGGGGGATTAGGAGAGGGTGGGTCTTGGGTTAAGGGGAAGGGTTGGGGTGATGGGGATGGAGGGGGTAAGGGATGGGGATGGAGGGAGAAAGGTAAAGGTTGGGATGGAGGAGAGGAGGGGTGAGGATGCAGGGGGAAGGGTAAGGATTGGGGATGGGGAGGAATTGGGATGGAGACGGGGGGAGGAATTGGGATGGAGACGGGGGAGGAATTGGGATAGAGAGAGGGGGAGGAATTGGGATAGAGAGAGGGGGGAGGAATTGGGATAGAGGGGGAGGAATTGGGATAGAGAGAGGGGGAGGAATTGGGATAGAGAGAGGGGGGAGGAATTGGGATAGAGAGAGGGGAGAGGAATTGGGATAGAGAGAGGGGAGAGGAATTGGGATGGAGAGAGGGAGAGGATTGGATGGAGGAGGGGAGGATTGGGATGGAGAGAGGGGGAGGAATTAGGATGGAGAGAGGGGGGAAGAATTGGGATGGAGAGGGGGGAAGAATTGGGATGGAGAGGGGAGGGAAGAATTGGGATGCACAGGGGGTGAAGAATTGGGATGGAGAGGGTAGGGAAGAATTGGGATGGAAAGAGGGGGAAGAATTGGGATGGAGAGGGGGGAAGAATTGGGATGGAGGGGAGGGGAAGAATTGGGATGGAGGGGAGGGGAAGAATTGGGATGGAGGGGGGGTAGGAATTGGGATGGAGAGGGGGAAGAATTGGGATGGAGAGGGGGAAGAATTGGGATGGAGAGGGGGGAAGAATTGGGATGGAGAGGGGGAAGAATTGGGATGGAGAGGGGGGAGGAATTGGGATGGAGAGGGGGGGAGGAATTGGGATGGAGAGAAGGGGAAGAATTAGGATGGAGAGAGGGGGAAAGAATTGGGATGGACAGGGGGGAAGAATTGGGATGGAGAGAGGGGGAGGAATTGGGATGGAGAGAGGGGGAAGAACTGGGATGGAGATGGGGGGGAAGAACTGGGATGGAGAGGGGGAAGAACTGGGATGGAGAGGGGGGGAAGAACTGGGATGGAGGGGGGGGGAAGAACTGGGATGGAGCGGGGGGAAGAATTGGGATGGAGAGAGGGGAAGAACTGGGATGGAGAGAGGGGAAGAACTGGGATGGAGAGGGGGGGAAGAACTGGGATGGAGAGGGGGGAAGAACTGGTATGGAGAGGGGGGAAGAACTGGGATGGAGAGGGGGGAAGAACTGGGATGGAGAGGGGGGAAGAATTAGGATGGAGAGGGGGGGAAGAATTGGGATGGAGAGGGGGGGGGCGACACAGCAACAAACATGAGTCAACAACGCGAAGTTGTAAGTTATCCGAGTGCCCCCCTCCCCTCCCCCTCTTCCAGATCCCCATCCCTCCCGATCCCCAACCCTCCCCACCCTCTCATCCCGATCCCCCCACCCACTCCGATACCAATCCCTCCCCCTCCTCCCTATCCCCATCCCTCCCCAACCCTACACTCCCCATCCCTCACAATCTACCCCTGCTTTACACCCCCATCCCTCAAAACCCTCAAACCCCCGCCCACACCCTTCACACCTGAATCCCCACCCCCTCCTCCACACCATCTCCCACCCTCCACCACCATACCACTCCCGCACATATCCACTCAACACCCTCATCCTTCCCCTTTACCCCCACCCCTTATCCAACCACACACCCAAACACCATCAACCCCTTTTCAACACTCTCATCCCTCCCCACCTTCCAACCTCCCCAACGCACCCACTCCACCCTCCACCCTCTCCAACACCCCCACCCCCTCCCAAACACCCGGACCACTCTCTAACATCTACCCCTCCACAAAATATACCACCCCATCTTAACACTTATTACCCCCCCCCATCACCCTCTCGTCTTCCCCAAAGCACCTCCCCCTCCCGGAGGGTCTACAAGACACTACAACCTTACTTGGAGGATCTACAAGACGCTACAACCTTACTTGGAGGATCTACAAGACGCTACAACCTTACTTGGAGGATCTACAAGACGCTACAACCTTACTTGGAGGATCTACAAGACACTACAACCTTACTTGGAGGATCTACAAGACACTACAACCTTACTTGGAGGATCTACAAGACGCTACAACCTTGGAGGATCTACAAGACGCTACAACCTTGGAGGATCTACAAGAACACTACAACCTTGGAGGATCTACAAGACGCTACAACCTTGGAGGATCTACAAGAACACTACAACCTTGGAGGATCTACAAGACGCTACAACCTTGGAGGATCTACAAGACGCTACAACCTTGGAGGATCTACAAGACGCTACAACCTTGGAGGATCTACAAGAACACTACAACCTTGGAGGATCTACAAGACGCTACAACCTTGGAGGATCTACAAGAACACTACAACCCTGGAGGATCTACAAGACACTTAAAACAAAAACAACACTTACTTGGAGGATCTACAAGACACTACAACCTTGGAGGGTCTACAAATACAACTTTACAAACATTACAACCCTGGAGGATCTACAAGACACTACAACCTTACTTGGAGGGTCTACAAGACACTACAACCTTGGAGGGTCTACAATACACTACAACATTCCTTGGAGGATCTACAAGACACTACAACCTTACTTGGAGGGTCTACAAGACACTACAACCTTGGAGGGTTCATCACAAACACTTGGCAAAAACATTCCTTGGAGGGTCTACAAGACTACCTTACAACCTTACTTGGAGGGTCTACAAGACACTACAACCTTACTTGGAGGGTCTACAAGACACTACAACCTTACTTGGAGGGTCTACAAGACACTACAACATTCCTTGGAGGGTCTACAAGACACTACAACCTTACTTGGAGGGTCTACAAGACACTACAACCTTGGAGGGTCTACAAGACACTACAACCTTGGAGGGTCTACAAGACACTACAACCTTGGAGGGTCTACAAGACACTACAACCTTCCTTGGAGGGTCTACAAGACACTACAACCTTACTTGGAGGGTCTACAAGACACTACAACCTTGGAGGGTCTACAAGAACACTACAACCT